AGCTCAAATTCTGTTGCCCAGTGCTGTGGTCGAATACAGTTGCTTTGAGTAATGTGTTACTTCACTCACCAGTACAGAGAAAGAGGAACTGTGCTATATCTGCATTCATAGCACTGAACTCATCCTTGTTAAGTGTGCTTAGGGAAATTTCCTGCCTTGCTCTTGAGAAAGAATATGTGTGTGCGCGCACATGCACACCTCCAGAGGGACAGACAGAGAGCATCTCTGCTCAGCTGGCCTCTCCATTCTGGATTGATGAAGACAGAAAAGAATGTGACCATGGGGTAGAAGGCTCAGGTTTTTAACGTGCTGATTTTCAAACCACTGCGGCATGGTCTGAAGCATACAAGTTTCCTAAGACTTTAAGAACTGTGCACTGCTGGAACCTAATGGAAATTAAATTTACATCACACTTTGAAGTGGTGTCTTCCTGTAACTCTTCTCTCCTGCCTCTCTAGAATTCTAGTCCCAAAGACTTATTAACTCAGCAAAATTCAAACTTGAAGAAAGAGGATTAAATTGTTTCAAGTTTCCCTGTCCTTTATATATCCTTTTTGCACATTAATATCCATGAGCCTTTAATACAAGAGTAATATTGATCATATAATTGCACTAACAAGCTCTGGTGTTAGAGCACTTCGCTCTAACTTATGCTTCACAGCCGTTCTGGCAGTCAGAACAGAAGTGCCACAGCCCCATGAGAGGCTGTGAATCAAAGTTGTTGGAGCTTTTAAACTGACTTTCTGGCACCTGGAAACTTCCTAGACAGTAGCAAAACGAAGGATGGATGACTGAGGCATCAGCCCCAGGCATCCACTTAAAGAGAGGGCACAGGAACATCAGCCACCATCGCTGCTGGCTTAACGGCTGCCACAGCCTGCCTGGCCTCTGTTGTTACCATTGTCACCCAAGGCCAGAATGCTGTTGAACATCATGACCCGTGTCAGTATAACTTCCATTAAAGCCAGTAGTAATTTTGGGTATGTTGAACTGCAGCAGTTGTCCCACATAGGTATACAGTAATTGAAAAGACCCCTGGGTCATCAAGTCCAGTCCTTACTATTGTAGCCCTGGAATTCTTTTTGTAAATTTAAACTTAAAGTTACTAGACAATAAAATCCATTTGCCTAACTTGGGTTTTTTGGGGGAGGGGTGTTTGGTTTTGTTTGTTTGTTTGATTTTTTTTTTTAAATATAAGCTTTGTAATATAGTGCCAGGAATTCTGAAAGAAAAATTTCAATCACCATTTCACTAAAATGAGGTGGGGAAAGTTTAACTGAAGTGAGAAGCACGGGGATGCACATAAGACCTTGCTTAGACTGCAAAACGACAGTGCTCAGCAGTGGCACTATCAAACCAGCTCTTCAGAGACAGTGCCTCCTGCCTAACTGGAAGCAGTGTAGCCACATTGTGCACTGCTGAGGGCAGGCCCATTAACATGGGGTTGTTTATTTATGGAGCATCATAGCATGTTTGGGATTGCCACACTATCTGGACTTTGCCTAAGACTTTCATATCCAACCCATGTACATAGGCAGCAACTTACTTGGTAAACTCCAGCCAGAAAGGTCAAAGCTGTAGCAATTCCGATGGCATAGCACTCTTTCCCACACTCCGCATTCAGCCCCGCAAAGGTAAGATTGAAGGCTGTTATGTTAGAATCATTTCTCTTCCATGGAGAGCTGTCACTGAAGGCTGGTGGAGCATCGTCATTCAGGTCAAACCCTGCCAAGAGCAGCTCTCGATCCACAACTTGTCCTACCATTAAGCTTATTAAGCTGAAAATGCCAACTGACACATGTCGGGAAGTGCCCATCAGGAAGTAAATTATGTTGGCAAAGAATGATGTGTAAAGGCTGTAAATGGGCTTCAGACCTGCTAGCAGGGAGTAGGCTATTGCTTGGGGAACTAAAATGATCCCAATCACTAACCCAGACATAATGTCCCCCCAGATGTACTCTTTGTAGGAGTACTTGGGAAGCCATCGTAGTACAGGGAAGAAATCTAGGACTGCATTTTTCAGTCTCTGTGTTGTGCAGGAACAGCTCTTCCTCAGCTTGGCTTGGATAATTTCTTTCCTGTTTATCTTCGTGTGAACCTTTCTTTCCATTTGAAATGCAGATGCTGAACTGTCATCTATTTTGATGGCTTCTATTTGTCTTTCCATTTTCTGTGCATTCACTTCATGCATTGGTTCCTAAGATGTTGAAAAAATGGTAGTTAGGATCAGAGTTCTTGTGGTGTTAATACTTGTAAGTGTTCAGAGCTCCCAGAAGTTAAATACTGCACTAAATATTTCAGCACAAATACTTTCAACTCTTAAAATTTATCGCTGAAATGTGTTACTTTTAATTTCTTAAGTTCATAATAAAGTTTAAGTCAGCTGCTTAAAAGAATACCGTGGGATCTGAGATCTACAGTTGAACAATTCTAATAAAGAAAAGAGCTTCCAAATAACCAACAGTCTGTAAATTATCCAGCGGACACTCATAGGACTCAGATTTGTTTCGCTAAGCAAAAACAGAGCTAAATTAATTGTCACTATTTTTAACACGTAGTACATGTTAGATAGAATTCCATTTACCATTCTTGAATGAAGTACATGCCTCACACTAGAATGGTCACGTATACTTGAATACTAAAATTTGAAATAAATATAAGGCTTCTTATACTAAATATTTTTAATTAGCATAGAGGAAATGGAATGTAGTTGTATTATGGGATATATGGGCCTTGATATGGAAGCTATGCATAGAGTAGTAAGTTGTCACAGCAGATGTTCTCAACCTATGGGGAGAGGGTTCTGTTAATAGAAGTACTAAACCTGGAAGTAGTATACTAGTGTCAGGATACTGAGGTTTTAATGTTTGTAGTGTCAGGGCATTGAGATCTTTTTAATGTTTACCATACATTTAAATGTGCAACCTATAGTTCCTCCAACCTTAGCTATGTTTCCTGGAAAGTAATCTCCAATGCCAATTTTTTCTGACCTAGCTTTGCATTCCACCTGGTGGATGCAACCATGCTGACAGAAGAGTGCTTTTTCAGCTTATGTCATTTGGAAAGGTGGTGTTGGTTTTCTATCGGCAAGTACTGCGTTGCATCTTTGCTAAGGGACTGCTGACATAGCTACATTGCCATAGCTGTAGCAACAGAGGCACTATAGTTTAGACAAGCCCATACAAACAGGTGGACAGTTAAAATGGAATGGGTAGGCTGGAAAATACTATGTATGTTATGCCAAGTGTCATTCCACTGAAAGACAGGCTACACAGGCTTTGCTATTCTTCTCTTCTGCACACACCTTTGATGAAAACAAGAGAGTATGGAATGCCAAGGGAATCCTATGAAAAGTTGTATTTGTGTAAATGCATGTATAGATAGTGCACAATGACCACCCTGTTTTAGAATATCCTATAAAAACAAAGTATACAGAGTAGTGCTTCTGCCCATGCCTGCCAGCCCCAGTCAGGACCAGCGCACACAGCTTATCACCAAGGCTGCTCCTGGTGCGGCTGCAACCACCTGCATGCTACTCAGCTCCCCTCACCTCTAGGGGTGGCTCCTCCTCTTGCTCTTGTCTGTGTTGTGCCACTCCAGGTTGGCTGGAAGCTTCAGACAGGTGGCTCCTGCCCCAGTGCATAGGGCTCTGGCTTCAGCTCCTGAGTGTCTTCTACCCACTCAGCCCCCTGCAGCTCGTTGCACTGGGCAGGCAGAGTGGATGAAAGGCAGCTGAAGCCAGAACCTTGCGCACTGGGGCAGGAGCCACCTGGCTGAAGCTTCTTCCCCACCCAGAGCAGCACAGCATGAACAAGAGCAGAAGGAGGAGCCACCCCTTGTGGTAAGGGGAGCTGAGCAGCACCCAGGTGGCTGCAGATGCACTGGGAGCAGCCTCACCAGTAAGCTGTGTGAGTGGGCTGGAGTGCGGCACAGCTTGCTCTGGGTGGGAGTGGGCAGGACTCAGCCCCACTCAGTAGAGCGCTGTAGGGGCAGCTGCAAACTGCATGGCCTGGGCAAGCTCTTTTAAACATTCGCCCTGCCCCTTCTTCCCTCCCCTCACCCCAGGCTGGCTCCCAGAACCTAGCGCCCAGGCAGTCCCCCCCACACACATGCACACATGCCCCCTTACACCTCCCCCCAACACCCTCACCCATAGGGCAGGGATGTGCAGGGAATAAATCATGGCTCTGCTGCAGGCCCCAGCCCACACTGTCACCACCCTATGATCCTGGCCTTGCCCACCCATCCTACTCCTGAACATCGCTTCCTGTCTGCCTGCAGCCCCATATGGAGTTTTAGTGAGTTGCTGGGGGGAAGGGGTGGTGCTTGTGGCGGGTGCAGAGATCCCACCTCAGGAACACAGCTGGGTATTCGTATCCCTCCGCTGTTTCCACCACGTGAGGCAGGCCAGTAGGGGGTGCTCCTGCGTCGAGCCACCCACCTCCCTGCGCCCGACCACCTTCCAGGCTCCGAATGCCTCCCTAGGGGCGCCTTATGTCCGGCCGACCCCTCTCCCAGAGCACACTC